TTTTTTAGATTCCACATATGAGCGATCTCACATGGTATTTTTCTTTCTCTTTCTGGCTTACTTCACTTAGAATGACATTCTCCAGGAGCATCCATGTTGCTGCAAATGGCATTATGTTGTTGGTTTTTATGGCTGAGTAGTATTCCATTGTATAAATATACCACAGCTTCTTTATCCAGTCACCTGTTGATGGACATTTAGGCTGTTTCCATGTTTTGGCTGTTGTAAATAGTGTTGCTATGAACATTGGGGTGCAGGTGTCATCCTGAAGTAGAGGAAATACTGTGTTCTTAAATGGGAGATTTAATAGCAAAACAAAATGAAGACCATTTCCCCCCATATTAACATGGACTGTGCAATTCCAGTCAAAATCTGGAGAGGAGGACTGGCTGAAATTAAAGTTTTATTTGTAGGGTTAAGTCTAATAGCCAGAAAAATTATACAAAGGTCAGTGAATTCAGGGACTTGCTTTAACAGATTTGTTTTCAATTGTAGTGGCTCTGTAATAACATAAGTGATATTGGTACAGTAATAAAACTGTGGAACCAGAATAGAATCTAATGAAAGATCCCAATATATTTTGGAACTCAATATTGAAGTCAGTGCAGGTCCCTTATCTGAAACCCTAGGACCAGATGTTTTTGAATTAATATTTGGATTTCAGAACAGCTGCATGGTATGATCACTAACATCCCCATCAAGATCTGGGAAAGTGCCTTATAGTTGAGTCATCAGTAATTCTTCAAGTAACTTGCTTAAGTGGGATAAATTAAAATGGTATAAAAATATAATGTCAGCTCATACTTTGCCACCAAATGAATTTTAGGGGGTAAAGTTTTTCCTTTTGAAGAAAAAGATTTGTAGGTAAGGGATTGTAGACCTCTGTGTCAGTTCAATGAGGGAGACAATGGTTTATCTTTTTCTGGAAAGGAAAGTTGGACTCCTATCTCATACCACGTATTAAATTCTCAAAATCTTAAGTGTGGGAAAAAAAAACAACCCAGATAGAACATTATTTGTTTACATTGACATTAAAGGAAGCCTTCCTAAGCAAGCTGGGAAACCCAGAAACCACAGCAGAGATGACTTCATAGAAACGCTGGGCAGGTGGCCCAATGTGCATGTCAGAGCACTTGCTGGTGGGCAGGGGAGTGCCATGGGAGGCAGCATACATTCTTTTCACTTTCATCCTACAGTGAAAATACCCAACAGTGCTAACATCTAATGCTGATGGGAGGGAAAAGACAAGTGCACTCTTTTAGTACAGGTGGAAGAAGCACAACTTGTGGCTTTTTTGCAGAGTGCTCAGACACTATCACTTTGGGGAACCTGTTTGGTAGAATTAAAAGTACCAGCATGGAAGTATTGTAAGTTTACTCTGGTGGGATTTGGTTATCATAGCAAAAATCTGAAAACAGTGTAAATGTCTCTCAGTTTGGAGATGTTCTCATGTGTCCAGCTGTGCACCTAGAGGGAGGAGGAGGTGTTGACTAGTGAGAAAGTCACAGAGGAACTGGTCTGTAGTAGTATCCTAATTTGTGCATCTTTAACTTGTTTCATTTCGAGCATGCATGAGGTCTATTAATATTTTTCCCAAGTAATAGAGAAAAATATGTAAAGGAAAAAAAAGGGTGAAGGGAGGGGAAAGGGAGTAGAAACAGTGAGATGACTGTATGAAATGTGATGTAAAGAGTTGGCTAGGGTTGAGTAGCAGTGCTGGTGGTGAGTTTTCCCACCCCCCCCATCAGTTTTTTTTTTTTCTTGCTTATAGCTTTATACTTGCCTTACTTTTATAACAGTGAAAGTAAGAATTGCCCTTCCTTTCACTACCATGAAAACACCTAGCATTTTAGTATAAGTCCTCCCAGAGAAAAAGGGTTCTGGCATGCTACACAGTGTCCCATCACACCTCTTTCTCACTATGCCAGGGGAGAGATGAGCCCTGTTTTAAGGACTGCATGGTGTTCTTCTGAACGTCTGATTTATTTAACCGCTTCTCCACTGCAGAACATTTAGTTCTTTCCAGTTTTCACTACTGCAACCAGTGTGCGTGCATGTTTCCAATTCTAAACTTAGGCCAGATTCTGGGAAGGAATTACTGAGAAATGTTTACTTTTGAGACATTCTGTCAAACTGATTTTCAGAAAATGAACAGTTGAGCCTCTCACCAACAGAGCAGAAATACCTCTTTTCAACCTTTACTGTTAGGGGTATAATTCTTCATCCTGGGAATCCTATGGATTAAAAGGCTGTATATTGCTTAAATACACTGTTTGACATTCGTATTCCTGCTTTTATATCCTCCTTGTTTATCCTAAACAGTTCTTTGCATATAAGGGCTGTTGACCCCTTGTTCTAGATTGCCTGTTTGGTCTTTAGTAGGTTTAATTTGTTCACTGCTTACAACGTTTATGTAAGCAAATCAGATGTCTGCAGTACAGCTGTAAAGACATGTATGTCTTTTATCAGTTACATACAGTAAGTATGGTGTGGAAAGATGGAGAATTGGAGCAAAGATCAAATCAGGTCGTGGCTCCGTGCTTGTACACAAGGGTGCATGTAAGACCTATGCAGTCTGGTTGGAGTCGTTGGCTGTGCTGAGGAGGTGGGCTCTGCCAATCTGACACGGGGAGAGGGGGCGCTTTTGGGTGCTCAGAGCAGCCTCTCCAGCCCTGCCTGCCTTGCCCGCAGCTCATGATGGAGCAGTCTAAGAAGTCCTCACTCATGGTGGCTCGTAGCATCCTCAACAACAAGCTCATCAGCAAGAAGCTGGAGCGCTACCTAAAGGTGAGGCTCACGCCCCTGGTACGCCGGCCTGTCCCCAGCCACGGTGCCCAGTCCTGGCCCCGCGGGTCTTCCCTTTCTTCAGTATTGAACCTTTCTCCGCAGGGTGAGAACCCTTTCACCGACAGCCCCGAGGAAGAGAAGGAACAGGAGGAAGCCGAGGGCGGTGGCCTGGATGAGGGGGCACTGGTGGAAGCCTCAGGGGTCGCGAAGGGTGCAGAGGGCGCGCCGGCGCAGCCCCCGGTGCCCCCAGAGCCAGCCCCCGGGGCTGTGTCCCCGCCCCCACCGCCGCCCCCCGAGGAGGAGGAGGA